AATTTTAAATTTTAAATTTTAAATTCTAAATTTTAAATTCTAAATTTTAAATTTTAAATTTTAAATTCTAAATTCTAAATTCTTAATTTTAAATTTTAAATTTTAAATTTAAAATAAAATTTTAAATTTTAAATTGTACATTTTAGTTTTTAAATTTTACATTTTGTATTTTTAAATTTTGAATTTTGAATTCTAAAATTTTGAATTCTAAAATTTTAAATTTTAAATTGTAAATTTTAAATATTAAATTGTGAATTGTAAATTTTAAATTATAATTTTTAAGTTTTAAATTATGTATATATATATGTGCATTTATTTATTTAATAATAATTAGTTAAGATCATTTATTTTACAAAATGACAAAATTTAATATTTACTCTATAAATTATTAAGATAATTACATGGTATAAAAATGACTAAACTTGATAATTTATTGTAGAATTATTTTGAATTTTAATTTTTAAATTTTTTAATAAATCAAAATTTAAAATTAATAACTTTAATTTATTTTTTAAAATTTTTAAAGAAATTTATTTGATTCTAAGTTTTAAAATGAATGTTTGAAATTTTCACAATATTAAAAATTAAATAAAAATCATAGTTAGTCATAATTTAAATTTGAATTTTTAAAAAGTTTTGTAAATTTAAACTCATTTAAAAAATAATGAAGAAAAATAGAAATCATTGTTAAAATGTACTAAACTTACATATGTAATTTAAAAAATGTATAAAATAACTAATTTTTTGAAGTTATAGTTAGTTAATATTGTTTTCTTTTTAGTAGGGAAAAAACCAATTATTGAGAAATACCCATAAAAAACATTATTTATTTTACAAACTGACCAAATTTAATGTTTACTCTATAAATTATATTAAGATAATTACATGGTTTAAAAATGACTAAACTTAATAATTTATTGTAGAATTTAAACACTGTATGTGCTTTTATTATCACAAACACAGAGACAGAGGGATAAAAACCTTTTGGTGGAAACGGTGCGTTTCACGTTTGAATCATCCTGGAATTAAAATAGTCAACCTTATAAACCACAAAGACGTACTTAAAATTTAACTATATCAAAAGAAAAAATAATAAATAGTTTAAAAATAAATAGTAAAGAACAAATCTCATGAATTTTATAGTGAAGAGAAGAATTTATAGAGAAAAATGTAGTGAGATTTTAACAAAGTATGAAGCTTTAGAACAAATCATTAAAAATATAGTAGTTGAAAAATCATTAAGAAAAATAAAATCAACCATTAAAGACAAATCTTAAAACTCACATTGATAACCCAGTCACGTTGCCATAATCTTGGTGAATCTGATTTTTGCTCATTGGGAATCAAAGGAAAGAGACTTTAAATCTAAAACTTATAAAGGAAACAAAAATGAGAGATAAAAGGGGTAGTAGTAGAATTAGCGGAGAAGAAAATGGTTCAAGAGTGAGAAAAAGGGAAGCATGAGAAATGGGATGGTATATGTAATGAGTTCTTAATAATAAGAAGAGTGAGCGGTTACTGTGCGGTTACATTTGGAATTTTTTTTTTTCATTTTTTTTATCTTTTAGATGCTACATCAAAGAGTGGTTATGTGCAGTTATATTTGGAGTGGATTGATTAAAATAATTTCTTATTCTATTTTATCCTTTAAATAATGGATTGATAAAATAAATTGTAACATAATTGAAGGATACAAATGTCTAATAGAAAAGTGGAAACCAAAATAACCTATTCCCATTATCTATTGTTATAGATAAATATATAATTACATAAATTAACATATAAAAAAATAAAAAAATATATTAAATAGACTAATTCACACGAGTTTATATATAATAAGTCAAATCAACGCGATTGCATAAATAAAACATGATTCAAATTCCTAATTTTATTTAGGCGTGGATCAACTCCTATTGCTGAATTACACGCTTAGAGTTTTAAGTGCCTTCTTTTCTTAATTAGGATTAAGAGTGAGATATATTTCGAGTTGCGAAAAAAAAAATTACACAAACAATATTTTTTTACCCATCACGCAAACAAAAAAATTATATTAACTTTTCGCTTAAACTTCAAATATTTTTAAACTAAACGCCGTCGTTTCAGTAGTCCCCAAAGCTTGAATCGGAGTCGACTCATCTCCGAAGTACCAGAAGCTGTGTGCAAATTCACCGCGAAAGCATAGTGGCGCAGATAAACCCCGCTTCCAAAATTCCCCGATGGAGGAGGGCTTAGAGAAGAGAGAATCAGAAGGTGAAGTGATTAACAAGGTTGCCGAAGTGATTTCGGCTATAAAGAATGCGAAGCACGTCGATCAAGTCATTTGCGCGCTTCATTCCATAGCCGCCCTTCTCTTCCCCCTCGACCCTTCTCTTCTCTCAGGTTCGTTAATTATTGCCCTAACACTTTTAACGACTGTGCACTATTCCACTCTTTTCAAAGACGATTTTGATTTTGTATGCATGTTTCCATCGTGGCAGATAGCGTTGACGAGAGTTACCGAGACCAGGTTTGTTGTGCGCGTTCTTGTCTCGGAATTCGCCCTTCGTAATTTCACGTTTCATCTCGTGTCGGTTTCAGGTCTTCAACGTCGAAGTTCCTTCTGCAGAGAAACGTCATGGTTGGTGGCGTGCGTTTTATCGAGGAGCTGCTTTTCCTACACTGGCACGGTTTTTATTGCTTGGTAATGTTTTTATGAGGTTATATTTATTTTTCTTTATGTTGCAGTTTAAGGTTTATCACAGGTATTCTCCATGAATTTGGATCCTCTGATCAAAATTGGAGATTAATCTTGATAACACGCGTTAACATTTAATGAAATCCTTTATGACACATAGTATTGAGGTGGAACACCAATTCTAATCGGAGAACAGCACCAACAACAACACGTATTGTATTGCATGCAAGTTTTGTCCTTTTATTTTCCCCTCGAAATTTTAAGTTGCTAAAAAATATAAAATTGCGTTTTGCTTTTCCTGCTTTTTTCATGTTATGTGTGACTTCCTGCAGATGTTGCATCGAACTGGTTGGGTTGTTTTCCCTTTTCTGCGCAGAAACATGTTTATGATGTTTTCTTCGTTCGTGGATTGGTCACTGAGGTGCTGCAGATTCTGGTTCCTTTTCTTCAGTTGAATGCGAGTGATGGTCTTGATGTTAATGCTGTTCTCTCTAATTCCGAGAGGTATGAATGTTCAATTGTGCAGTGTCTTGAATGCAGTTTCTTTCGCCTTAAAAGTTGTTAACACTTGTTATCATCATGCTTGTGCTTAATTTGGTGTGTAGTGACAAGCCGATTTGATTTAATGTTGCGAAGAACTTATTCAGATTCCAATATTTATAACAGATTGCTTGGACTGTGCTTGCTTGACAATAATGGGGTGCTCCAGTTAGCAAGAGAGTTTGGTGGTCTTTCTAAATCAAAAAGCGCTGCATATGAACGGATCAAGATGGATGTATCTAGGGTGGCACAGATTGTTGCATCTATTCCTGACAAAGCAAGAATGAATTCCAGGACTTCATTGTCATCACAGTATGCTCCTTTTTCTTTTCTCGGTTTAGATAGTTTACAGGTTCCATTAATTGAATACCATCATGGTTCTGAGTAACTTGGTTAGCATTTTATGTGTTTTTTTCACCGAGAGTGTTCAGTGTGTTCTTCAAGCAGATTGTTGTCCAACTACTCTCCCTGGCAGAAGAAAGAGAGATGATTTTGCTAGAGAATGTAGACATGGATGAAATGGACAAAAATGGTGTACTGTTATTTGTAGGGGAAATGTTTTCTCGCATTTGTCGTCGTGGCTCTGCTGGTAATTGATACTGGATTTTTGTTTTAATTATTAAACTACATATATTACTATATTAGCTAGTATGATTAAATTGCTTTGAATTAACTGTCAGCCTTTGTGAAATAGATCTTTTTCTTCATATCAATTTTTATCTTCTGTTAAGCCAACTCTCTTTTGTTCGCTTTGTAAATAAATAAATATCAACTTCAGAGTGACAATATGTTGCAATTACTGAACCATTTTGTGGAGAAAAAAAGGGCATGTTGTCGCTTGTAATAAAGGTTATAGCTTTCAGAAGATAATAAGCAGCATATGGTTTATAGTTTGCAGAAGGCACTTTATTTAGTTTCTTATTTGCAACATTTGTCCATTGGCTGATTGACACCACTAAAAAGAAGCCAGTGAATCAATTTTCAATTTGGGAATTGGGATTAATAACTGTGGTTTGAGAAACTGGAAGCACTATGTTAGATTTAAATGCCTTGTAACTCTTATCCTATACTTAATGGAAAGTAATAAAACTGCTTTTAAAATTGCTGTCATGGACTGGTCAAATTAAGTTGATGAGCTGCAGTTATGACTGTAATCCTATGCCAGTGTTGTGAATTATAATTGGTTTTTCTCTGGACTAGCTGTTTAGTGTTATCTAATTCAATTTCTTTTCTTGTAGATCTTCTATCTACTGAATTAATACAGGAAGTCCTAACGCTTGTCAACAGCTGCTTATCATCAAGCAATGATTCGGTTACTAAGGAATTGCTCGAGTCAAAACCAGACACAGTATTTTGGTTGAGAATAATGGAATCCATCAGTGATACTTATACCACAGAAAGAATCTCTGAGCTGATTTTGCATAAGTTAGCTACACAACATGCAAATGATGTTCAAGCATATTGGGTGCTGTGGTTGTTATTCCATCGAATATTTAAGCTTCAGGCTTCTGTCAGGTTAGTGAAAATATTAGTTTCTTTTTCTCCATTTGAATTGAAGGAAGTAAAAATGGCAGCTTCCCACTTTATTGGTTATTATTGACATTGATCCTTGCACTACGACACACACAACATAGTGGTCAATTCCAAATAGCAGCTCTCAGTGACTGACCCGAAAAAGCTGTAGTGGTTAGCAGGGTGACCACTGTTATGAAGTTTCAAGATGCACGTTATATACATCATTATTCCCCTCTCTTTTTATTTTATAGAAACTGTTATGGAATTCCAGTATTACTATTACTTTATATATGCTTATGCCCCTTTGTTTTGCTGTGTTCCCGTGACTTCTCCTCAGGTCTATGTTTGTCGATAAATTCCTTCTATGGAAAGTATTCCCTTTTAGCTGCCTGAAATGGATCCTTCAATTTTCTGTTCATGAATGCCCAGCTGGTACCTCATTATTGGGACATGATCGCCCTGGGATTTTGGATACCATCCAACGTCTGGTTGCTGTATGGTCTAAGAAAGAATTTGTGCAAACAGTGCCTATTGAGCAGCAAGCTTGTATCCTTTTTACTTGCACTAGTATACTGAATATGAAAAGCATGCTTAATAGAGGAATACATAGCTTCTAGATTTGAATTTAAAAAGGGTGGCCTAGTGCATGAAGTTATCTTCATTGTGGGGTTTGGGAGCTTTTACCCCTGTAAGTGGAACAGATATCTCCACTACTACAGCCCAATCATGAAGTCTCAAGGCAGCAACCTTACTGTTGTGTCAAGGCTCACACCCTGTATGATCTATATTTCTGCTTCTATTTATAACAATCTCATGCATTTTCCTCATCTGAGCATTCACTGGATATGAAGCCATCTTTGTTAGTGATTTATTTATTTTTCCTATATTTATCTCAGACATATCTGCTGCACTAGGCCTTTGTCTGGAGACAATGTCTAAGGAGGAATTGGATGGGATGAAGAATGCCATGCACTTGATTCTTCAAGGAGTTAGCTGTAATTATCATTTACTTAATTGTTGGGTGTCTTGATAATAAGGTTGGCAAGAGGGATTATGTGGGATTGTAACTATTGCATGATGTGTACCCTTAATCCTTCAGAGTATTTTAAATACCAGCTCCTACCCAATGGAAGGATGTGTTGGATCTGGAAACAATTTTTGTGTAATTTGAGGCCTTTTGTATGGGGAATGGTTCCTCTTGAACTTGCTGGTTTATTCTGTGATCTTGCTTTGAGTCACGTCAAATGTGTCAACCTTAAACAAATTAGGTTGTTATTTAAATCACATGATCTGGCAATGATTGGAGGGTTTATACGCTAGTATTCCCAAACCTTCATTTCCCTGCTACCCAATTAGCTACTTTTTATTGTGCAAGTAAAGTTGAATTAAGGACTTTTCTCTAGTATTCAAGTGATACTACTTGTCTAGTACCCATTGTTAGAATTTGGATTTGGGCCTAACTTAATCCCAAAAGATAGTTCATGAAGTGAGGATTGCTCCTTCACTTATATTTACTATTTTTGGCCATATCATTAGTTAATCTAGAATCTTCAACACATACCCCTCATGCCAAGGACTAATTTGTATTAAAAATGTGACTGCTTTGATGAATTCCTTTTTTGTGGGCCCATCTCCATCCCACTCCTAGTCAGAGTGATCTCAACTATCAATTATGAATGCAGAGAAATTATAGGAAAGTAGAAAGAGAGTGAGAGAGCAGAGTGAAAGTAAAGAGGAAACCGAACATGTTTTTTGATATTATTAAATCTCAATGGTAACACAGGTAATTGTGTTTAATAGTATACAAAACAAAATCCTAGTTCTGATCGTCAACAACTCAGTATAACTACTGACATCTGTCAATAAAAGAATGACAGCTGGATGAAAATAAACTCAGCTTAGAATCTACTGTGCATATACTTTAACACCTACTGATTCATTAGTCTTGTAAATCTGATTAAAATTGGGTTGCCATTCCTACTTGCAGAATGAGGTGTTGACGTCTAATTCTTTGTGCAACTGTTTCAGGTAGGCTGGAGAGTCCTAATTATTTAGTTCGAAAAATGGCTAGCTGTGTTGCTTTGGCATTGTCTAAAATTATTGATCCAAAGAATCCTCTGTACCTTGATGATAGCTGCAGAGGGGAGACAATTGATTGGGAATTTGGATTCACTATCCACAAGAAAGGAAATCTGGATGTCTCAAATTGTGGAGTAAAAGGTGTTGAGGGGACAAATTTATCTACAGTTTTGGGTCCAGAGAGGGACTCCGACTCCCCTTCCAATAAAGATAAAAGTATTTATGTAAAGGGTAAAAAGAAGTTATTGGACTTTAACGTGCTTGATCCAGATGAGATTATTGATCCAGCATCACTGCATCTTGAATCAGATGATAACGAAGAGGATGATGATGACAATGCTAGTGAGAATTCATATTCCTCAAGTGATTCATCTTTACAGCCGTATGATTTGGAAGATGATGACTCAGATTTGAAAAGAAAATTTTCGCAGTTGGCTGATGTAGTTGCAGCTCTTAGAAAATCCGATGATGCTGATGGGGTTTGTAATTTGCTCTCAAAAACACTTTTTAGTCGTATTTGGATCGCCTGCCATGTGTATGCTTAAATCTTAATGTTATTTGATTTCCTGTGAGAAAAAAATTTAATTGGTTATGAATTGTGTCAACAATTACTGCAATGACCAATTATTATATAATTGGTTTAGACTTTAGACTGAACTATTCAATAACCAGTTTGTAGTCCTCTCTTGACATCCTACTTTTTTGCTGAAATTTGATGTTTTATAAATTTTATTGCAGGTAGAAAGGGCTATTGATGTAGCTGAAAAGCTCATAAGAGCATCCCCGGATGAACTAAAACACGCAGCTAGGGATATGACCAGAACTCTTGTTCAGGTTCGTTGCTCTGATATAGCTTTAGAAGGTGCTGAAGAATCAACTGAAGAGAAAAGACAGAGAGCATTAGTTGCCTTAGCAGTCAACTGTCCATTTGAATCACTTGAGACGCTAAACAAGCTTTTGTATTCACCTAATGTAGATATCAGTCAGAGGATCATGATACTAGATGTCATGACAGAAGCAGCTCAGGAGCTTGCTGAATCAAAAATTATGAAACCCAAACACAAGATTAGTTCCCTTATTTCAGTTGTTTCTGATAGCCGACCTTGGTTCCTACCTGGCAGCCCTGGGACTCCTGGAGCTGGTTCCTGGAAAGAGATCTCAGGTACTGGCACTTTTTTGAATTGGTCAAATAGCTATGAGAGAGAACTTCCCCCAAAACCTAATCAGGTCAAGAAAGGGAAAACACGCCGGTGGAGCATACAAACTCCTGAACAACAAAACCAGATGGAATATTCTCATAATAAGTTTCCCATGTATGCCGCCGCATTCATGCTTCCTGCCATGGAGGGATATGATAAAAAAAGGCATGGTGTTGACTTGCTTGGCAGGGATTTTATTATCTTGGGGAAACTCATTCACATGCTTGGGGTTTGTATGAAATCTGTAGCCATGCATCCAGAAGCTTCTGTGCTGGCTCCTTCCCTCCTGAATATGTTAAGATCCAGGTACTGGTTAAGACATTAGTTGTCTTTTTAATTGCAAACCCTATGAGGATTGTCATAATCGAAAACCTTCCAAAAAAAATTGTCTGTATATGTGCATACTAATGGAATTGATAATTCAGGTGTTCTATTGCTTATATATGTTTATATTTCTTCTTGCTACCATGTTTTTGCTAGTGTGCTAATGCAGGAAAACTTTTTCACCTTTTGCTTTTCAACTCATACAGAGAAGTATGCCATCATATGGAAGCATATGTGAGAAGAGCCGTCCTTTTTGCAGCTGCATGTGTATTGGTTGCCCTTCATCCTACTTACATTTCATCTGCCATACTTGAAGGAAATTTTGAAATATCAACTGGCCTTGAATGGATTCGCACATGGGCCCTTGATGTAGCTGAGTCAGACACAGATAAAGAATGCTATACGGTAAGCAAAATAAAATTCGAAGTTTCAAAGAAGTTTAGAATCTATCTCCCTTGCAAGCTTTTCAATTTTCCCTGCTTGTACTCTGGTCATGTAAACAGGTTTAGATTTTTATGCATTGGTCTACAGTTATTTAATGATGATAAGCTCACAGATACAGTTAGTTACATAAACGTATGTCAAGATATGTCAATCTTGGTTTCGTTGTGGTTTTCTATTTTCATATTTATTTTATTCATGACTATATATGTGCTTTTAAAAATATTAACATAGATAGCTTATTATTATCCCTAGGAATTTTTATTCTGGATCTTTTTATTCTGCCGTAGAGCCTTGCAAAGTGCCCTTATCCCCCTTTTATTGTTTGGCTCAACTCCTGTTAATTTCCTGTTCCAAATAAGCACTTTTGTTTAACTAATAACTATAGATGTCTATGACAAGTTCAAGCCTTTTGTTGTTGTTGTTGTTGTTGTATAGATGGCTATTACATGTATACAACTCCATGCCGAGATGGCTCTTCAAACTTCCCGAGCATTGGAGTCAGCAAGAAGTTCACTCAAGGCAGGTCCTACTCTTCCTTCTGGTGCATCCAAAGTGATCATTAAAATTCCCTACTTAAGCGGGGATTAGTGATGCTACTGGCTATTGTGAATGGCTGCTAGCCCGGAATAATTCAAAACTGTGCTAATTATTTCTTCTATTCCTTATTAGTTTAATTTTTTTATCCAGTCCTTGTGTTTGTATGAATTTTGTATATCTTAGGATTCTAGATTGGTATCACGCTAATGTTCAGGTTCTACTTCAAAAGCATTTGCAATTTAATAATATTTATTCTTACGCCTTAGCCGTTTGAGGTGCTCGTCTCTTTTTAATTCCTTTATCTTATTATAAGCGGAGTAAAAACAACATACCTCCGAATCTCGTTCACTTCATCAAAATGTGTTCATGTGTTGGGAAAGTATCTTCAAAGTACACACACTTGTCAAACATACAAGATTGAAGAATTAAAGTACTTTACTAATTTACGAATCTGCAAGATTGAAGTTGTTAAATATATGCTTTTATTACTAGTAAATATGGAAACATATAACGTATCCGTTGGTAGAAATTAGGGATTAAACTATTCTTCGTATCTTTAATTAATTACTATCTTGATTATAAATACAGATTAGAAGTGTGGCTATCATGCTCACATTCAAATAAACACTGTTTATATGGTATCAATAATCTAGGATTTTTTTTTTTTATTTGGTTCAATTTTTGCATCAGTGGTTGCGTGGTGAAGGGTAATTTCCAACAGTACCGTGACCATTGAGTTTTGTTGATCACCCCATCGTGTCTCTGTTTGACGGTGTGCCTTTATATAAGGCAAGAGAACTCTTTGGCGATCTGTTCTATCCAAGAACTGTAATTGTCCGTTGCCTCACGTGTTGCCGCTCTCCAACGCATATTGTAGACATGCCTAACGTAAAATTAGGATTTTTTTTGCACGACCGTCATATACCCGCTTGCCAAAGCCCTTTTCTGCGGGTTCCCTGCATTCAAACATCTTTACCCACCATCTTTTACCACTTGATTCATGGCCTTTGACGATTCCTCCTCCGATGCCACTGCATCAATGACGTTCACCAATGTCCCACTATGGCCTTGACGAACTATAACTGGGCTTCTGCTGTCAAGTTGTAGTTTCAAGGCTAAGGTCGTTCTGACCACTTGACAAGTCGAGCCCATGAAATTGCCCTTAAGGATTGAGCTCGTTAGCAGCAAATTGACGCTTCCTTGTGCAACATTCTCTAGTTCTTTATTGCTCTCAACCTCCAACCCCAATACCAGGCTTTCCCTA